GGTTCCCAAAGGCTTCGGCACAAGCACGAACGACACCGAGGGCTCCGAGCATTGTAGAGCACTGCATGGTAGCGCACAATGAGCAGCTTCTACCTCGGTGCCATCCTTGGCTGCGCAGGAGCCTTTTGGACTCGGGCTCCGGTTGGTCCGGTTGCGATCGGCGAGGTCTGGAGCGGTGAAGCGCGGAGGCGTCCTCCAAGCGTGCGCACACACGTCGCCTCTGGTCCAGAGCGACCCGGCGGCCCGGCCTGGAGCCCTAAACGCTTGGGTTTTGTTGTTTCTTCCGTCTCGTACCTTCTTCCACAGCAGTGAAGCCAGTGGGCACGATCTTTATGTTCAATGAACGCGTCGAAAGGTCTCCACGTGCGATGCACCGGAAAACGTGGTGCGGGTGGTGCCGGAACTGCATAACTTCGAGCTTTGATACGGCGTGGCGTCACCTTTGTGTAGGGCTTGGTGCACATTCATATAAACGTTGCCGCGTCGGCTTCCTTCGACGAACGAGTGGAGTCGATGCGCTGAAGTCGCTTTCATCTAAACGAGACTAATGAGAAGACAAGCGTGAGCTTTGCCGACTCACTCAGATTCTCCCGACAACGAGGCACTCTCGCACCAGACAGCTGTCACGCCTACGATTTGGATTTGGAGCGCGAGGATCTGGTAGCACAGAGCATTTCTCGGGGGAACTGGTCGTCAGCGCACAGGTTTAGCAGCGGCGAGGACCCGAAAAATGGTTTTCAAACCCGACGAGAAAAGAAGAGGTGGCGCGAGGAACGCGAGGAGCACCAGCGGACATTCCATCGCTCGGGAGAAGAGTGTTTCGGCGTCTCGCCGCAGCGGGGCGCACGTCACGTGGTTCTCCTCTCATTTGCTGTCTGCCGCTCTACCTCTTCAATTTTGGCGGCCGCGTCTCGTGGTGATATGCCAGGCTTTGTCAGTAGAGAGGAGGCTATGCTCCTGCTCGCCACTATGCTCGCTCGGGGATGCCAACGATGATGTCACGGGGCTTTGAACAGATCACAGGCGGCAGAGAGGCTCGCAGCACGCCCTGCGGCAATCGCCGCACGCATTTTTCCACAATAAATGTTTTAGGTTTACTTCTGCCCAAGTTAAGTGTGACAACTGAATTCACGGTACAAAAAGCTATTGAAGTCCTCTCCTAACTTAGATTTTTCTAAAAGTGCTTCAGCTTGCCTTTAAGAAATGCAATCTACTTTGCCGTGGAACCTATGCGTGGAACCACGAACTATACAGATTCGGTACTAATAAAGCAACACTTTGCTCTGAGATTAACTGAGCAAACCAGGTTTATTTGTCTTTTCCCCGGCTTGCGCTAGCCGTTTGAACGGCGAGCTAGTCGACCGCACTGCGTTCCTTTAAGCGTGAGAGCTGGGAGGTGCGACAAAGTGTGTAATCTCTACTCGCATGAAACGAGGTGGGAAAAGGTGAGAATGAAATTGATGACGTAGACGACAAATCTCCTCCTTTGCACACGCCACTTTTTTCGGTGGGTAAGAAACAAGCGTCTCGGCTGCAAGTTTTTCGTTTTTCTCTTCTTTCTAGTATGTCTAATAGTAACTGTTCGGTTCTAAATATTGTATCTTCCTATTTTTGAAGCAGCTTTGTACTAATAAAAGGGCGACTTGTGGAAAGTTGTAGAAAATGCAAGAAAGCCACTTTTACAAATTGTAGATTAAACCGAAGCTCAGTGCCCTGACCAATTTACTCACATTGAGAAGTACAGTGTACGGACCGACACAAAGGCTTCCCAATTAGTGTATCTATACTATTTTGTAGGCTGAAAAAAAAGAAAAAAAAAAGACAGACTCCACCCACGAGGCCCAAAACCCTTTTCACTCTTGTAGAGCGAATGCCGGAGATGTGGCAAATCCCTCCTCGGCTCTTCCCGTCTTTTCCTTGCTGTTCACTGTGGTAAAGTCGAGAAAGTGCATGGCTTCCCGTGATACCTCACACGAAGCCTCCCCCCCCCCCCCCCCAACCCGCCCTTTTCGACTTGTACTGTTTTTTCTTTTTTTGACGTGCGCGACAGGGTAGTGTAGACTTTTTGAATAAAGACACTTTTCTAGCCAAAATATACTTCTATAGCAGTTTGGAAAAAACATTGATTTCTTTCTCAAAAGAAAAACGGTTTTGTTGTCGAATTTTTGAACTTTTACCTCTAAAAAATCTATGGTTTGAGAACATTCTTGAAATGAAGGACAGCGCAAACGGCAATTGGCTTGCTGGATTTTTTTTCCCTGGATTTGGCACATTTTGTCACATTTTAAACCACTGCACGAGGACTCTTTTGTGACACTCCAGAAATAGTTTTTATTATGCCGATTGAATTCTACGATTATATTATTTTGGAAAACGTTTAGAAAAATGTCGAGCTGTGATTCTTCGGCGATTTTCGGCATTGTTTTGCAAGTTCTTACAAATGACCTATTTTAGACATTTTATTGACATTGAGGTCACCAGAAATCTCAAAATGAGCTGTTTTTAAGAGATAAAATATCAATATTATATGCTTAAATAATATCTTTAAGATATATATGAATGAAAGATGTTTTCAAAAATGTAGCAAGTCAGGATTTTTTTTTACAAGACCACATTTTTATTTAGACTTCTTTATTGCTTGCAAAATATAATAGTGGTTTATTGAAAAGAAATATTATATATAGAATAAAAGGTGAAAAGGCGCGAACAGACGGGGACAATAAAGAAACACGGACTACAGAACAGGCACTTTTCCTGTCATCCTGTTTCTTTATTGTCCCCGTTTGTTCGCGCTTTTTAGCCTTTCATTCAGTAATGAACCAACTGGCCCAAACCCAAGTTTTAATGTGATATGTATAGAATTTGTTTTTTTCTGACCGGGATTAAATCTTTAATTTTGTCAGATTTGAGGAAGCGTTGTTGAGGAGTAAAATAACGTTTTCTCCGCATTACTCACAGCTTCCCTTATTTTTAAGCTGACAAGTTGAAGAAAGTCATAGTATTAGGGTATAACCTTCACACCACGTCACAATGTTGGCCAACATAGAAGTTATCCTAGGACGCAGTCACAACAAAAAACTCACAGTGTGCAAGCTTTAATTGCGGTCATACGAATAAAATATTTTATTTTTGTTCATATTTTTTTATGAAAGACATGTGTACATTACTAGTGCTAAAAAAAAAAAATTAAAAGCGTCGTTTTTCTGATACTTGGTCCAACATTTGCTGGATTTTCGAAACATTTGTTCATTTAAATACAAGTAACCTAATTTATCTTAGATATAGTATATTGAATTTGTTTTCAAGAAAAAGAGTTAAGTTAGAGCTTTCTAGTGATGCCCTTGTCATTGAAATTTCTTAAATAAGTCATACATAAAGTAGAAACTTAAAAAAAAAACTGTATGGAAACATGTTTTTTGGCACCTGCCGGAAATTCTATGTTTGAACACACACTGAGTTTATTGTTATCTCTACAAAAGCTAATCTAGGTCTACTCTATGGTGCGCTCAAAATAAAATTATTATGGTTAATGAATTGTATAAAATTAAAAAGAAAAACTTTCAGCCTTTCCACTCTGGTGAAGAAGGAAGAGCAGCGGAGCTGTGCTATGTGCCGTCATCTATGTGCCACCACCAGACAACCGGCAAGCCGGTTGTCTGGTTGCCGCCGTCGTTTTTAGATGGCGGTAGCTGTCCAGAGGTTTTTGTCGAGATTTATTTGTCCACGGACTCGAAACTGGGAAACTAGCCATTGACAGATCCTATATAAAAAAAGTCTATATTATTAAAACAAATATATATATATATATATATATATATCTTTCACGGTTTTTTGTAAAGCTTGTCAAGGCTTTCAGTGTGACCTGCTTAAGAAATTATAATGACATTGACATCGTCGGAGAATTCAAACTTAGTTATATTTATTGAATATAAATTCAATTTTTTTAAAATAAATTGAATGAAGGCATTTTGAAACAATCCAGAAAATTTGATACAGATTTTCTTCAGAAATATTATATTTTATTTGCTTTGTGTTGTGTTGGTGCCAAGGTATGACTGTTACTTATCAGAATACACTAACAGAAATATAATAATTTGTTTTTATGGCTGCAATGAAATCCAGATGATTGTCTGTTGCAAGTTGGGACTGCATGTCTCCTCCCATAGGTGCTACTCTCAACAGCATTATTGCGTGGTATAGTTAATTACCTAATATTAATCCATTCATTAGTATGTAAGCTTAAATCAAAAGTAAAATGGTGCGTAATACAGAGTAAAAGGCATGTTATTCCACAACAAAGTTGCCGTTTTACAGCGGACATCTGACAAGATTTCTCCTTTAAAGGCGGTCATATTAAAATACTATATATTATATTTATATTTTAATGAGGGACTATTACGCCTGGCCAGTAACAAAAAAGGAAGAAAAAAAACGATGCTTTTGAGAAAATTGATTTCGAATTTCCTAGATTTTCTAAACATTCGTTTTTTTGAAATGAGGGTAACGAATTTTATTTGAAATATATAATATCTGATTTTTATTCATTAGATAGAACTAGATTCAAGCTTTTTGTGACGTAAATATTATTGAAATATGATAAAGATGTCAAACGTAAGATTTTGCTAAACTTTGCCAAAAATCACCAAAGGAAGTCATTTCGCTCTTTTTTTAATTATTGCGAAATATACCTTTTTCTATATATCTTAAAGGAGAATAAATTTATTCCTGGATTGTCAACGAAAAGGCTTAGAGCTCTATTCTGAGAACAGAGAAAATAGCTAGTGGTTAAACATTGCTATCCCTGACAGGTGGGAGAGACATCAGTTTCGTCTTGGATACTTTAATGGTCTATAACTTGGAAAAGAAAAATCTGTCAAACTTGTCATTCGCGCTCCTTTCCGTTTCAGGAATGCTTGCAGAATATATATTTGTTGCGTCAAAATTAAAAATTGAACCCAAAAGTCGTGCGTGAATTGATATAAGTCTTGTGTACCCTCCAGGTGTTGGCACAGGAAGGTCCAGCCGCCTTTTACGAGGGTCCCGTTGCTCAGGCCGTGGTCGATGCCGTCTCTGCCGTGGGGGGAGTACTTAGTCTTGAAGACCTGAAGAACCATTTTCAATCTTCGGAGAACCCTGTCGTTCCTACGATTTCCACAACCTACCACGGAGTCAGAGTCCACACAATGGGACCTCCCAGCCAGGGGGCTATACTTCTGGAAGCACTCAACATCCTCGAAGGCTACAATTTAAAAAGCAAGTTATTACTTTTCGTGTTCATCTTCGACTGAATGCAAAAGTTTACATACTCCATTAAAAAGATAAAGTAAAAAAAAAGTCTCATCAGCTTCGGCTACTCCAGAGTAATCAGAATTGCATGGCCCTAAACTGAGAAATCCTAAGTGAATAATCTACCGCACGTATAATCATGTATAATCGAGTGTATAACAAAAAATGTCTACAGAAACGCGGTATGCCGAGAACATTTACTCACGCATGCGTAATGAAATACAAACATTGATAACGTGGAAATTGACCTGGTTTAGCTTTACAAACTGCATCTAAAAACTGAAAACTTTTCAAATGTAAAAAAAAAAAGATATGTGTAGCCTAAAGATGTATGCGCAGCACTAAATAATCGATAACCACCAGTCCGCTGACAACCAAGCTAACAAGCAAACTTAGAAAACTCCAAGTGCATCTACAATGTCCCGTAACGTGTGTCCCAGCGACAGCAGCTCGGCGCTTGCGCAACTCGCTATTACTATTAATGTGGCGGCGCAGTCCTTTCTGCAACACCTCAGCTGAGCTCGATCCCGAGGCGTTTTACGTCATTTTTCGCTTCTTCTGTATTCCACACCGGTGCCTCGTCCGTACTACGTGTACGGCAAGAATTCTCAGCCAATATCAGTTAGCAGACAAGACTTGCGCATGACGCCATCTTTAGTAGATTTGCGACCCGACCCAAGCGGCAAACACGCAGATGATAGACAAGAGCTGCCGCGAACCGGCAGACGCGTTCGTCTTAGTCTTGCCGAGTGCTCGCATCGCGCTTCTTGTAAAACGCGGCAGCACACCGCTTCAAGCTTTTCTTATAAACTCAGCGGTAGCGGCAGCGGCTGCTCGGAGCAATGATGTCATATAGATTGTTGAACTACCCAAGCATCATGAAAAATGCTGGGAATGCAGGTCTACGTGCTGCACGTGATGGCGTCTGCAGCACTCATTCATCTAAAGCAAAGCCTAAATCAAATGGCACCTTGCGCGCACGTTTGTTGACCTTTTATTTTGGTTACTTATACTTTGGAATTTTTATCCAGGGAAGGCCAGCGCTTGAGGCTGGTAGAACTCCATTCTCAGCATTTTTGTTTTTCAGTTCTTGAGTTACTTAGCAATAGGTCTATCGAAAACGTCACAGGTGTTTTAGCGAAGTACGACCAAGCAATTTCCCTCGGAGGTTCCTACTAACAGTTGTCGCTCTAAAAGATAAATAACATGGGAGTAATGGTTTAGAACATCTTAACTGTTTGTGCATCTGTCTAAAATTTGATTATTTCGAGATTTTTATGATGCCCATCAAGTTTCTGACTGAAACTATATTTTTATTTTATTAAATAGAGTTTTAAGTTGAATATCTTATAAATATGTGTATGTCTCAACTGAACCACCAGGGGTGCGACGGTTGCATTTCTTCCCCGAAAGACCCTTAAAACGCGTTTGGTCATATATATATAGGTGATTTATAGGTATTTATCCGTCTAGGCGTTAAAAAAGTTTCATGAACGCCGATGAACACATGCCTATTTAGACTCGACCTTTTCATACTTTTCAGGCTACGATCAAACCTCTGGCGAATATTTCCACCTGTTGATCGAAGCACTGAGGCTCGCCATCGCCGACGGGCTAAGCTGTGTGTCCAGCCCAGATCAGAACAGCCGCAAGTCGTTGGATCGGATGACCTGCAAAAGGCACGCCGAGGAACGGCGTACTCTCATTGACAAAACGCGGTAACAGAAAGTCCTTATCGCCAAGGGTCGCGTTTCCACAGGGAATATGTTTCTGGGTATTATCCTCCAGAAGGATCGATAGAGAAAATCAAACCCGTTTTGTGGCCCGCTTAAATAAGTTACGTACCACACAAAGCTGAATCTGCGTAAGAAGGTGACGTTAGTGGCTGTGATAAAACGTGTAAATCCGAGTACGTGAAATTACCTAAATCAACAGATACAAAAAAAAAAATAAACTCGTCTATCAGCCGACGTCCACCTAAGCCTAATATTCGTCGAACCTAAACATGAAATTTTGGTGTCCTGAAGACATTATTTGAGCAAAAAAATTTGTCAGCAAAAAAATAAAAAAGTATAGATTTTCCAGTGAAATAAATACGACAGACTCCCAGTCTTATATTTAGGCTCCATGAATATTACGCTCAAGAGGACGTCGGCTTATATAGGTATATTTACTTATCTTTTGATTCAGCAAACGTCATGTACTAAAACTTTTTCTATTTTATCACCACCGCTCGTGTTAGATTCTCACGGAGTTTAAGCTTCTTACGATACCAGTTCATTAATGCTGGCCGCAGTAGCAGTTTTTATTATCTCGATCGATCCCTGACCTTTTAGATCACAAGGCCACAGAAGGTGTACTCCCTAATAATCCTTCCTTTTATACAACACTTCAGTGCCAAAAAATGCAAAAAAAAAGGTGTAGATGGTTGCCAACCGCAATAGCAGGGGTGGCCAAGCTGCGGCTCTTCGCGTGTTAAAGTGCGGCTCGCGGCTCCCTCCCCCCGCTCCTCCCCCCGCTCCTCCCCCCCCTTCTTCCTTACGAACTTCCCCGCCTCCCTCCCGGTCACCACGAGCATTTCCCCAAAAAGAGAAATGGAACGCGTTTTAAATCGAAAGGAATGTTGCGGTTTGGTAGTCTTGTGCTACTGCTACCTTACGTGCAGTTGGAATTTTTTTGACTCGGATAGATTAAAAGTAGTTCTAGTTTTGTTTATTCCTCTGGACACAATAGTGCGCCCCCCCTCCCCCTCCTCCCCCCCTGCCCCCCGCGACTCTTGGAAGTTTCGTGGGTTTGTTTGCGGCTCTTAGGTCGGGTCAGCCTGGCCACCCCTGCGCTGTAGAGACAAAAGTGGGGTAATAGAAAAGACAGATGCAAAAATAAACACCATGTAATAAAATTTTTTTAAAAAATTCCGTTTTATTTTTTATTGGCAAAGTAAGGTATTTATTGCAGAACCCTCATTCTCGAACAAATGTAGCGCTACCAGTCCGAACTAGATACCAAAGCTTTAAATGAACCCTCCTTTAACCAAAAGTTATGTTCATTTTGAGAAAATTTTGAAGAGAAAATGGTGCCGATTTTCGCCCGTTTTCGGTAACTGGCGCAATAGAGCAGGATGTATTTGAGGACACCGTCGGCCGTCATTTTCTCATTGACAATTTCAATAAGTCGCTTATGAGATTTGAGTAACCAAACGGTCGGTTCTGAAACTTTGGTACCCGGCTCGGACCGCTAGCGCTACATTCGGACAGTGGAAGAGCTTTAAGCTATACGTAGTTTATTTATGCGGTGAAATAAATTCCTTAAACTTTTAAGGACACCCTGTATTGTCTTTTTGTTTTTGATTTAATTTGGGACGGAGGTATAAACACACTTTTCGAGACTAACTTGTCTCTCAACTAGAGTTTTATCTTGTTGTCTTACGGTAATGTACAGTGAGCGACAAGGTTTGGGAAAACGCGGCATCAGCAATGTTTTATATTCTATTAGCCTGTCTAACTCGTTGTTGTTGTTGTTGAAAACTTTATTGAACCAAACAATAGACCGAAGTCTAGTTTACGGGTTCGAAGGGTTGGGGGTATGGGACTGTCTCATGCATAGGCGTTTCTTCCATTTGTCTTCGATCTTCTGCGCCCTGGAAATGACTTCCAGTTGCGTGCCGATGTCTTCGGCAACCAGTAAGGTTTCCCATACCGGTAGGCCATCTTCTACCCGGAGGGTGGCAGGTAGCGGGTTTGCAGGGCATTCCCAGTACACGTGCCGCCAGGTTCCTTCTTCCTGGTTGCCGCAGTCTTCACACTTGCCACTAAAGAGGTCTGGCCAGGACCTCATTAGTATGTGGGGAGTGGTGTTGTTTCGAAGTTGGAGTCTTCTCCAGGCACTTTCTTGGAGTCGGCTGAGCTTCTTGTGTGGAGCTGCCAACGTCTGTCTTCGTAGCCGGAGTCTCTCGAGGATTTCACCATAACCTGCAGGCCCTATTGTGTTTGTCGAGGCGCTGTAGTTATGGTCCCCATGTGTCGTGGGGAGGCCCATTCTGCCAGTGGTACGGAGATGAAGACCGCGTACCACCAGCATGTGGGCCGTTTCGTTTCCTGTGTGCCCGGAGTGTCCGGGCACCCAGGTTAACGTATGGTTTGCTTCTTTGCTGATCTGGGTTCTGGCGTAGAGCTTGTATGCTGCTAGTCCAACTCTTCCCAAACTTGTATTGGTGATGGCTTTCTTGGAGTCGCTTGTGACGATGGCGTACATTTCTCCTCTTCTTGCTGCTTGTACTCTCGCAAGGGCGATGGCTGCTTCCTCGGCTTCCTCTATCGACTTGGCGCTGATTGTGGCCATTGAATCTTGTCTCGCATTGTGTACTGCTATTACAAATTTTCCTGGCCTGCCTGGATAGGGTCCAGCATCGGCGTGGAAGATGTGCACATTTCCTTCGTGCAGCTTGTTCAGAGCTTTGTCTCTAGCTAGCCTTCGTCCTGAGTTGTGCGCCGAACTCATATTCTTCGGAAGGGGAATACTCCGTACTGTGTCAGTCCATTCTTGTCGTATAGAGTGTTTCTCCTGCATTTCCTGGTCCATGAGCAAAACACCTATGTCCTGTAGGACCCGCCTTCCAGTTCGGGTTTGTGATAATCGCTGGATTTGCACCTGTCTTTGTGCCTTTCTCATTTCATCGAAAGTGTTGTGTATCCCCATTTGATCGAGGCCGTCGTTGGATGTTTTCTGACTAATCCCCAACGCAGCCTTGAAAGATCTTCTTATAATGACATCTAGGGAGTCTTCCTCTGCCTTCTTTAAGTTCATGTAGGGTGCAGCGTACATTATTCTACTTAATGTGAAGGCGTGCACCAGCCTATACGTTCCACTTTCTTTGAGTCCGTAACTTCTTTTGGATGTGCGCCTTATGAGTCGCGCGACATTATCCGCCTGCTTCCTTAATTTAGTGAGCGCTTCTCTGTTTCGATCCTCGATAGATACTATCATCCCCAAAATCTTTACTTGATCCGCTCGTGGGATGTCCATCCTCTGTAGTTCGATGTAGAATTCTTCGTTCTCCCTTAACTTGCGATTCTTTGATGTGCGGACTAGTAGCGCTGATTTATCGGTGGCACATTCGAGTCCAGCCTCTTTCGCTTCTTGTCGTACAATTTTTATGCCAGCGTTTATAACGTTGTTTCTAGACGGTGACGGCAGAGCAGTCCAGAGTGTTATATCATTGGCGTACACTGCATGTTTGAGTCCTTCAACTTCTTGAAGCTTTTTTGACAAGGGGATCATTATCAAATTTAAGAGTAGCGGCGATATTACCGATCCCTGGGGTGTTCCTCTTCCTTTGTTGACTTCTAGTTCGTCGGTTAGCTCTCCTTCTAGTTGTATTTTGGCCGTCCTGTTCTGTAAAAAATCCTTGATGTAGTTGAATGTTCTCTCACCCAGGTTAAGTGCAGACACTTGTCGTAGGATTGCGACGTGAGAGACTCGATCAAAGGCCTTTCTAAGGTCGAGTGCAGCTAGTGCTGTCCATTTCTGCTTGTGTACACCTTCCTTGAGTTGGAGGAGCACATCTTGCGTGGATAGCTGTTTTCTAAATCCAAACATGTGCTCCGTGAATAGGTTGTGTTCTTCCATGTACTCTTGAATCCTTGTTTGTATGATGCGTTCTAGTACCTTATCCACGCACGAGGTGAGTGAGATTGGTCTTAGATTGTCGATGGTCAGAGGCTTGCCGGGCTTGGGGATGAAACACCACACCGTCGCGTGTTTGAAGGCCTTTGGAATGACCCCTGATGTCCAGATTTCGTTAAAGTAATTAGTGAGGCACCGCACTGAATTGTCGTCCAGGTTCTTTAGCATTCTGTTGTTGACTTTGTCTTCTCCAGGGGCAGAGGAAACCTTGAGTTTAGCTAGTGCCCGTCTTATTTCATGTTCCTTGATTGGAGCATCTAATAACGGGTTGCTGTTTCCTGAGTAGCTTACGTCATTTGCCCCTGCTTCCGGTGGAGCGTCTAGGTATCTGGCGTAAAGGTCGGCAATGAGGTCTTCCGTGTTTCCCGCATAGTCTCTCATTAACTTGATGAGAAGTTTTTGCGTTTCCGGCTTGGTGTTTTCCGGGGCCAGTATCTTGCCCTGTCTAACTCCAAACATTATTACCGATGATAGCGCCCTTAGTGACCACTCTCAGATGCATCAGCAGCGTTGTGACAGAGTGGCGTCTGTGAGAGATAAAGCGGGACAATTAAAGTCGACGGCAAACTGCTTCTGACTGCATAGTGCAATGCACAGCGTCCCCCCCCCCCCCCCCCCCCCCGAGAAAAAAATGAAATATTCCGAGTATTTTTATTTTACTTTTAAAGTGAAGCACGCGCCGCTGAATGATTAGTCACCGCCAAAATGCGGCTCTAGCGGGTCGGACTATATTTTGAAGTGTCATGACCAGACTTGTGCTCGTTAATTGAAAAATGTAATGGCTTGCAATTATAAATTACCGACCTAAAATCTAATGGATTACCTTTGCAAGTTGCTTTCGCTGAAAAGTATCAGGTTACTTTATTCGTTACGTTACAAATCACTTTCACGATACTTTTTTTCGTACACTTATCCAGAAAACAGTAGAAACAATTTTGATATTTTTCAAAAATGTTCTGCAACACTAATTTTCGTTTTTCACACGCCCGTATTAGGGTAGACCTTATAAAAATAAAACAATATATTTAAGAGAAACAGTGTAGGTGCACTGCGTGTACCTGTAAGCTGACAAAGCACCGAAAGCTGCAACCAGACCCGCCACCCCGCTAGCTTACGGCCTCCGGAAATCATCCCAGGGATCGTGGAGGCAAGGCTAGCGGTACCAATGTTCAGTAGCAGCGTCTACCTCCACTACGAGATTCGGAGCTCAAGAAACGATCTACAAAAGCTTCCTTGTGACTCAGGAGTTTCGCCTGTTAATCACCAAAAAAGAAAAACTCGGTTCTAACGTTACGATGTGTAGCCAATGCAGAATGCAGGTCTGCCTGCTTACCTGGATGTGTTTCCGTAGATTACAGTCTGCTGTTCTTGCTGATAATAATGTATGTCTTTTGGCAAGCAAAGTATGCCCTGAAACTCTAGGTTTCCGTTCTCCTTAATGCCATGAATTTTGAACATCTCATTAAGAGACGGCCATGGAGACGACGGACACTCCATGACCGAAAACTTGACCAGTCAGAGAAAAAGAGATGGTTACGGGTTATTACTCGTTCATGAGTTCTCACTTTCATACCAATATTTGTGGAGGCCAGGGGAGAAGAGCGCATAGAGAGCGAGAGAAGCGATTGCCATTGTCTCACAAAACCATAGAGGATCACACCACTTTTACGAGCTCGCTCTCTCTCAGCCCTCTTTATATGGCCTAACACCTCCCCCCCCCCCCCCCTTTGTGTTGACAGTTGACTGTAAAGTGAGGAGTGGACTCGACCATCATGCTCAGACAATTAGACCAAAAGAAGTACCGTCCGTACCCTCAAAGATGATGCTCTTAGCCTCTCGCCGCACGCTTTTGAGCCGTGCCTCAAGAGCGTGCTAGAATAAAGGAGTGCACATCAAAGACAAAGAGAGTTTGACTCCCTCGCGCGAGGCTACATCGTCTGTTGCGCGAGTTGTGAAACCGCGAATTGAAGGGGTACGGACCCGCGTTTGATGTCTGTCCACGTGGCGGGAGACGTCGAAGAAGTTGGAAAGGGTGAAACAGTTTAAACGACAAAAAGCAAATAATCACGAAGAGCTATCTCCTGCCCGGGAGAACAAGAAAAACACGACGGAAGGCGACAGAGAGACTGCTTGGCGCTGTCTTACTTCATCCTTGTCTTTCGTATATTTGTGCATGCTTTGCTCGTTTTTCTAGTAGTTCTAGTGACCGGTCATACAAAAAAGTGGGTTTTCCTTTTCAAGTCTTCTACCCCCTCCTGATGTTTTCTATTTTGTTGAACTTGCTCTCTTTATGCTGCTGAATGTTCTGCTAGTATTGCGCAGTTCCTGTATTATGCTCATATTTTTTGTTTAAGTAACGAGTAATTAAAGTAATTTGTTACCAATATTTTTTAACGAAATTACACTAAGAATTACTTCCGAAATAAAGTAAAGTGGTAATTAAAAAATTACTCTAAAACGTAACAAATTACAAGCAATCCGTTACTTTTAACGGATTACTTCTTAAGTCTAGTCAGGTTTAAGCGTTACCTTAAACTAAGGTTATGTGCTTTTCTTAGAAACTTTGAATGGTCAAATGGGTACCGCCGCCCGTTGTAAATAGCTTTCAACATTTAGCCCCACGTATTTGTGGGCTTTGTCGCCCACCATTTTGTCATATAAAATTTAGGAATATCGGTCTTAACTTTTGAATCTGATTACGATAGGTTCGACAACTTTGTCATTGGCTTCGAACTGAGAGAGCAACATTTTGACCGAAACTTAGCATACTTTATTTTTAAAAGTAAAAGCCCTAAATTAGTTTTTTTTTAATTTATTCATTTGTGTGTGTGTGTGTGGAAGGGGGGAGGGGTTGTGCACTACAATTAAACGGAATGCATTCATTTACTGATTATTTGGGTTCTAGGCCGCGTCGGTTCATGTAAATTGTGTGATCAACAAAGCTTTGGGTAGACTTAGCGCTGAGAAAGGGGACTAATTTGACGCCATTCAGCAGTCACCGACTGCTCAAACAACAGAGGGCGGGACGATACCCGAGCACATTATTACCGCTGCGCAGAGAATCAGATTGCGTCATCAGACCATAACAACGCCAAAGGGCCAATCACGAGGCGAGAACATTATAAGCAACGCCTTGGGTCTCTCCGGCGGGCACTGACTATGCGGAGCGCAAGTTCGTCAACTCCTTGCACGCGGGGTGCGATGATGTCATCAGAATGTCGAGCTCTTATTGGCTGATTGAAAAAAAAATAACGGGTAGACCTCAAGGCACCTGGCATTGAGGTCTACCCACTATCTTTTCAATCAAAGCCAGTCAGCGCTGGGACTCGTTCTGACGTCACCGCAACTCCTTACGCAAGAAGCAGACGACTTGCTCTCCGTATAGTGCGCTTCATACTTGGTATCACAAGCAGTTTGTTATTTGTAATCTTTGTGTGCCAGCATTTACAGTCTTTCACTAGTCCGATCGCAGCCGTTGCTTCGATCCGCCGGTACAAATCAAGCTGCCGCAAAAGGTGCATCGTCACGACTCTGGCTGCATCACGCGCAGAAAACAAAATAGCCGTAGGATGGCGCCACACGTAGCGTGCATGATTTGCTTAGAGTCGGTGATAGCGAACGCACAAAGGCTATGAGCATCGTGACGAGGCAATTTTGGAATAGCTTGATCGACTCCATCAAATTCTCGTCGGCTGCGGTAAATTTGAACGAAATATACGAGCAGTTGTTTGTCATTTGTAGTTTGTACAGAGCGAGCATTGGAATCGCACCTACGAAATCTAGATAGAGATATAATATGAGGAGCTTAATAGGTAGTACCAACGCTCGCTCTGCGTCGCCTTTCATTTTGCAGGGCTATACACAAAGTGGTGGCTGCAGATATCCAGGTCCCTCCTCAGTCCCACACCACCTTCCTCACCACGGTGGACGAGCACGGTAACGCGTGCTCTTTTATCAACAGCAACTTCCATAGGTTTGGCTGCACCATTGTCCAAGAATACGGCTTCGCTGTGCACGTGAGTCAACATATTCTTATTTTTTTGGGGGGTATTTAAAGCAAAGAGCGGCCACCTTAATGACTGTGTGGTCTTCGGTGTTCTCTCCTCCGAGTGGGTTATGGCAGATATTAGTTCACACATGCATCAGAAGGCTGCGATGACGCTTTTGGAGTTTTCAATCAGGACGCAACAAATGACGTGTATAACTAATAAAACCTCTACGCTTCTCAAAAAATAAAGCACAAAAATTTAGCGCCGCACGCGTCTCTTTTCACTGATGACATGAACCACGCAAACATCACGGCTTTCCTTATCGCCTACTTGCTATCGTCTCCGCCCCCCTTTCTTGTCTTCAGGGGGTTGGGAACTGACAAGAACAGCGGAGGTCTTGACAATAGCTATGCAGAGCGTGGAAGTGGTTGTCCAGACCTCACATGATGAGCACACACCACGCCTCTGTCCAAGGACGGAGGTAAAATATTAACTTTCCTTCCGGTAAAAAAACAACAATGTTTTGTGTCGGATTGGGAACGGAGGAAAACTTCCACTTTCGATGCAGGAAATGATGTGCACGCCATCTGATGTGTCCTGTTTGGACCGCTGCATTTAGGCAGCGCTAGACTATAGCGCTACTGTCCTCCCAGGCTCAGGGCTAAGTTAGCTCTGGGTTGTGCCTGTGAACGGCAAAGTGCCGGCACTAATACAGTGGAGCGCTGATGAAGTGGCAAATGTTGTACAAAGTATGCGGTGCGTCTATAGCGCTAACATATCAAGCTCTGCCATATGTTTGAACAGGCCTTAATGGCGACCGGGACGCGTTCCCAACTGATGTGCATGCTGTCCTGGTTTTTGTTCCGTAGAGTTACGCCTGATGACATCACTGAAGTATCATGCTCTTGCCTCACGCGATCATGGCTGTGGCACGGTGGCGACGGTCAATACTGCTGACGCTTGTTTTGTCGCAGGTCGCTCTTTGTTACAGAGGACAAAGGCTTCTGCAACCACGAGTTCAGACGGCGCAGCGACAGCGACAGTTACGTTCGGTCGTACTTTTTGCTAAAATTTCTACGACCAACTTCCATGGCAGTGACTCCGAAATGCATGGCAGACCAGATTTGATTACTTACGACATTGCCGATTTAAGATATGTTTCATACATAAGCAGTTTATCACGTTAAACACTTCCGTCGAGATGCACTCCAGGAATTGTAGTTTTCCCTGAACATGGACGAACGGCCAGCGATCCAGAGTAGTGCTAATTCAAAGTTAACGTCTTTTTGCATGTGATTTGAGACGTAATGTTGTTCTAATGTAATGCTATAAAAAGCTATTTCTGTTCAAGATTTGTAACTTTTCTATTTGGTATTTCTCTACATCTGCTTCACCTTCCCACACCCGTCTGTATTCGGAGTTCTAGTGGGCGATATCTTGAGAGTATTGAAATTCTCAATCGAAGGGCTGTTCCCTCAATCGCGCAGTCATGAGTTTCAAAGACAACAAGTTTGAGATCAGCTAGGGATCTACCAGGAGTATTTCTTAATGATAAAATTTTATAAGCAGCCGGATACTCTTGAATATTTTGTGGCATAAAGAAGCACATTTTGGTTGCCGATCGTTTTTGTTTTGATGCATTATTCTTTGTTTGAGGGATTCGTATTAAGTTTGTTGTTCTGTTTTTCACCGGCCTCCTAACGGCACTGATCGCGATTTATCAACTGCCACTCTGAACTGTACAGCTTGTTGCTCTTCGGAGGCGACATAATACGACATTTTAACTACACATTCTAAATAACCAGTTTACTTAGTTTACTAATGCATAGAACCTCTTCATGATGTCAATGTAGACGCAGTCAGAAAACGACACTTCGGAACTGTAACGAATATTGGGAAAAAGACAGATGATTCATATACTAATCAACTTCTAACATCTTCATATCTGATGCACCTCAGACAGCATTTTGTTTCCCCGTGCGTGCGGGCGCACTAAGGTTTGCGACAAAGAAGAGTCTTCTGAGCGGATGCGCGAGCCAGATCGAACTCTCGATGGTCTTAGCCATCTGCCGATGTCCCGTCATTGTAAACGAAGTTTACCTTGTCAAATATAGTTGTAGATAGACTAAATAGCTTCAGTAACTTCTCGAGTAATGTCAAGTAATTGCGACGAGTTCTGAACCAGCCTCTGAAGTTAATGGGTACAACTCCGAGTCTGCCGCGATGACGTACCAACTTCCACAGTTCGACGACACGAAAGATATGTGGACTTCGTATACAGTCATATCTCGTTAATATGGACCCCGTTAATATAGATACCCCGCTGTATAAACACCACCTTCGGAGACAAACTGGAAAAATACATGCATTTTTGTTTCCTTATTGTGGTTCTCCTTAGGGCCACTGCCTTTGGGAGTTCCACGTTCGCAGCGAGACGCTCTACCGCGAAGCGGGTTCGTACTCGCGTGGCATGCTGCTCTTTGAGCGCAAACAGACACCATGCAGTCACGTTGGTAACGGTGATAAACTGTTTATTTACAATGAAACAAATAACAACAAAACAGCGGCTATAAGTTGGTGAACGACGTCGGTGTGGAGATCGCCCACGGCCGAACGGTCGTTCACAAAGATACAAAGTACGGGGTAAACGCTCACCGGTGCGCCGGAAGGGTCCCCGTGTCGCCGCCGCCGAATCCCAGGAAGAAGAGAGCAGCGATACTGCTGTCCGCTCGTTTTAAGATAACGGCGGGGGCGAAGTGGCCAATCAAGGAGCGACACATCGATCTCCTTTGTGCAGGGGTTCGTTACGGAAATCGTCCCAAGGGGGAGAGGAGGAAGCCACGCACAGTGGTAAGCAGCGCCACCTCTCGCTACGTCGGCGCGGCCGCCACGGCGCGCCAAAACGCTGACGCGACAGAATGTTGAGGGATCACAATCCCCACATTATTATGGACAACTCACGCTGTGGACGATTTTTTACGGGGAAAGAGGTGTCAATATTAACGAGACATCACTGTGTTATTCGCATTGAGTCCTACTTCCAGGGAAACGGCACCATGAATGATGTAAAGAAGGTAGGGCTTATCGTTTCGGCACTGGGCTTCAGAGCAATCGACACCTTGAGTGGGCGTTGCGCACCAAGGAATCTAAAATAGTTAACCTACGTTCAAGCGAATAAAATTTTCGACGAATTTTACGCACCGAGATCGAATGAGATAGCTTAAAGCTTCAAATTTTCACGAGGGTTCAGAATAAGGATGGGTCAACTAATCAGTTCATCGTGGAATTTCGGCAGCTGACCGATAAATGTAAGTGCGGCAACATCTTAGACGGCATGCTACAAGATTAGCTAGTGTGGAGAATTCGAAATGTCGACGTTCATAAGGCTCTGCTTGTTAGGACCAAGTTGATATTGCAGGACACGGAGAACATCGTGCGGGTGGTGGAAGCCGCGACACAAGGTGTCAAGCTCATGAAGCGTTCAGATGTGAAGTCACAGCCGGAATTGCACAAGCTGGCGGGTAAGCAATGACCGGGACCGCTAAAGCAGTACAGCAAGAAAGAACGTACATAATTGCTGGCGTGCGAATGGTGCGGCAGCAAGGTACACTCCAAGATGACCTGCACAGTAAAAATTTCAAGTGACTGCTGTGTGGAAAGAAGGGACACAGCGCAGAAATGCGTCGCTCCAAGGGCAAGCGACAACAGGGGACGTTTGCACTCACCGAGGACTCCACTGACGACGGTGACTGATCGTTTCTGTCGTATCTGCTTTCCCTAAAACCGAATCCGATTGAGAACAATATAGCCAGTCCAGTTCGGCACAAGTTCTGTTGGGGCAGGGTTGGCATCAGCATCGAGATTGACGCTGGATTATTAGTGTGTGTGATATCCTGGGATGTCTACAACGAGCACACAGACAAATGGCCAAGACTCGAAAGCCCAACCCTGCAGTTCTCTTGCTATTTGGGGCCTCTGCTGATTGCTGATAAGCTTACGGTTCCTGTTTCTCTTGACGACAAGTCTGTCACAGGGTAGGTGGGAGCACTTTGCCGGCCAGGACCGTTTTTGTGTTGCGGAGACCTGATCCCAGCGCCAAAGAAATTGGGGACTCCTGTTCTCATTGTGTCCAACTCGAAAAGTCAAGGCAAAGCAGATCTCGTCTGCCGTTTGGGGTGTCTTCTGCGCCAGATCTATTTCATCGCACCATGGAGATATTTCTGAAGGGTATCCCAGGCGTGCAAGCAATTTGGGATGACGTCGCGGTGGCAAAAGAGAAGGAAGATGGCGGAAGGGGACTAAAGCCGGTTCTGCAGCGCTTCCGAGAAAAGGGCGTCAAGTTAAGAAAAGACAAGGGCACGTTCCGGATGCCGGAAGTTTGCTACCTGGGACACAAGGTCAGCAGCGACGGTCTGCAGCCTCTTGAGAAGAACCTAGATGCTATGTTGAATGCTCCAAGCCCCAAGAACGTAAGCGAACTGCGTTCGTGCATCGGTCTTCTCACATACTAAAGTAAGCTTCTTCCGAACATGGCTACCTTGCTCGCTTCTCTCTACGACCTTCTAGCCAATGATCGCTATTGAACCTGATGTCCGGAGCAGCAAAAGGCGTTCGGAAAGTCCAGGCAAGCACTGTAACAAGCAAGGATGCTCACTCACTTCAACCCGACTAATCCATTGCGCCTGGAGTGCGACGCATCGCCGTAAGGAGCAGGAGTGGTGCTCTAGCATTGCGTTAGGAACTTCGACAATACAATTGGATTCCGATGCCGAAGTATGTCGAAGGCCAAGAGAAACTACTCTCAACTCGAACGTCAAACACTGACGTTGGTGTTCGGAGTGTCTAGGTTTCGTAACTGTCTGCTTGGTTGATTCTTTATTTTAGTAGTAGAACACAAACCTCTGGTTGGACTGTTTTGTGAGGACCGCCCGAAACCAGTCATGGCCGCGGATTGGATCCTGCGCTGGTCTTTGCTGCTGTGAGCTTTTAACTACAATATCGAGTACAAGCCTAAGCCAGATAACCAG